TATATACACACACACACACACACACACACACACATCCATACATATACATTCTGGTGCAACTATACACCTACGTACACATATTTTAGAAATTATGAGTTCATGCTAACACCTTCAATTACAATCCATCTTTATAGGGTATTTTATTGCCTATAGAATATAGAAGAGAGAATGAAAATCACTGTTGAGGCTTTATGTAAGACAATGTGGTAGGCTACATCCAAGTGGTGTCTTAAAGGACAAGTAGGAGTCTACCAGGAAAAGAACGGGTGGGAGGAGAGGGGAGCGTGGACACTGGGAAAGAGAAACCAACAGCATGAAATCCATTATTTTTTCCACCTGGACTGTTCCCTTTTTAGGCAGACATATTTTCTGGAGCCATATTCATCAGGTGGCCTTGGGATTGGACCTTTACCTGGCAATTTTCATCCTCTTGGCTATTACTGCCATTTATTCCATCACTGGTGAGTCTTTTGCATATTTTGCGCAGTCATTGCCTCCTTCTGCTAATCTTATCCCCACCTTCAATTAGCAACCTCAGTGTTAGCCTTGTCACTGCTGAGGTAAGGACACCGTTTCATTCCCACTGTGAGAGTCAGGCACAGGAAGAGAAACACAGCTAGAGCAAATAAAACAGAATCCTCCTTATCAGATATGAGCACCTTATTGGAGGAAAATGATGTGGTGGATGGGATGGGGAACTGGTGATTTGTTTCAGCTCTGTGTTTGGCACCCAGATTGGCATTTAGAATTCAGCAAATCATCTACATGGAAGGCTGGATGAAATAGCAGCTCAGCCATGAGACTGGCAAATGCAAGTTAAAGTTCAAATGAAGACAGGGTGCCATGGAGTGGCCTTGGACTGTGAATGGGACAGTCAGGGAAGCAGAACTGGAGCAGTGGGTTGGTGGTGGGGAGAAGGTGTGTGGCAATAGTCCAAGCAGGCTCTCGTGAACTAGATATGTCTGTGCAGTGTCTCATGCATACTAACTTATGAAAATTAAACTATACCAGCTGAGTTGGGAAGCATAAATTAAAGAATAATAGCTAGAAAAATCAAGACAGTTCTGGAACCATTTTCATACATTGAACAGTAAACCTAAAATAAATGGCAGAGAGACTGACTCTCTAAAAGTAAGAATTTATTCAGGAAGAGCAAGGGGGTGCAATCTAGGGTAAGCATGCTACGGTGGACCATAGGTACATCCAAGAGGGTTGGGGAGAGAAGAAACTTTTAAAGACAAAGAGGAAGAGTCCACATAAGCTGTTTTGAAACAAAGACAATTGGTTATAGGGGCTTATTAGAGGTAGTGGCACTTGTTCATTGGTGGTACTGACTGTTGCTAGGAGAAGGTCTTCATACAAGTGGCTTAATTGGAAAGTTCCAGTGGAATAATTCTTTGTAACAGGCATAGGTGCATGACAGTCCTGTTTTCAGGATCAGCCTTATTTCCTCATGACACTCTCGTAAAGGAAATATCTTGTCAACTGAGAGTCTAGTAAGTCTGGTGCTGAAAGAGAAGTTGGGGGTTTCTTTGTACAATATTGCAGCAAAACACAAATCAATTACTATACCTCGTATTTAATTAATGAAACAATGATATGTTCCAAAGCTAAAGCAGAAATGGCTTTGCTAGATTTTTTAGAGCAGGGATACTGCTCTACATGGGAGTGACTTGAGAGACTGTTAAGGAAACTTCAATGGTATTGAGTTTTTGCTTTTTCCCTACCCAATATTCGAAAACTCACATAATGATGAAATTCTGCTATAATCCATAGAAACTTTAAATCAGTGAAAGGCAAGAGAAATAGAAGAACCAATGAAAGACACAAATACTAAGGAGATTATGATGCCAAAACAAGTTTGCAGCTCAGCCCAGAGTTTTTGATATGTTTTCTGTTGAGTCATTTCCAGCATTTGTGTGGAAGAGAACCCTAAGATGAAGGCAAATGCATGAATACACATGGATAAAATTCCCTGGTTCTTTTTTTTTCTCTCTCAACAGGGGGCTTGGCCTCAGTGATTTACACAGACACCCTCCAGACCATCATCATGTTGATTGGGTCTTTTATTCTCACGGGTTTTGGTAAGTGAGGACAGCATGTACAGTGCCCAAGGGTTGGAAATCTGGAACTTGTGCCTGTTCAGTCTGTCTACTCTTTACTGCTGTCTGCCAGGTCTACATGGCCACATTGTCCAAACATTTCTATAATTCTCGTCATTGAAATGTCTAGCTGACTTCTTTCTTGCTGTATGTTTTTCAGCCTGAGGAAATGGGGGAACAACTTTACTTCATTCCTCAAGGCCACATATGGCCCTCCAGATCCCTTGAAAGAATCCAAACTACAAATCCCTTTACTAAAAGGATTTGTTCTATAAAATGTGGATTCAGTCAAAAGGCTACACTCAAGGATCCAGAAGGCTACATGTGGCCCCAAGGCTGCAGGTTCCCCACACTGATGAAAATGTCAAGAAGAATTTTCCCTGGATTTTCTTCTTCTTGTTTTATAGTTTCAGGTTTTACATTCAAGTCTTCAAACCATCTTGCAGTGATTTTTTTATATGGTGAGAACTAGGGGTCCAGTTTCATTTTTTCTGCATATGGCAATTAAATTTTCCCAGCATCAATTATTGAAAGGGGTGTCCTTTCCCCAGTGTATATTCTTGTTGACTTTGTCAAAGATCAGTAGGCTGTAAGTATGTGTCTTCATTTCTGGGTTCTCTATTCTGTTCCATGAATCTATATGTCTATTTTTATGCCTGTGCCATGCTGTTTTGGTTACTATAACCTTGTAAGTATTATATAATTTGAAGTCAGGCAATGGGATACCTCCAGGTTTGTTCTTTTTGCTCAAGATAACTATGGCTATTCAGGCTCTTTTTGGTTCCACGTGAACTTTATAATTTTTTTTAATTCTGTTAAAAAATGATTTTGTTATTTTAATAGGGATTGCATTGAACCTGTAAATTGCTTTAGGCAGTACAGCAATTTTAACAATATTAATTCTTGTTAATTAGAGCTGTTTTTCCATTTGTTTGTGTCATCTAAAATTTCTTTCATCATTGTTTTGTAGTTTTCCTTGTAGAGCTCTTTCATGTCCTTGGTTAAATACATTCCTAACTTTTTTTTTTTTTTTGCGGCTATTGTAAATGGATTGCCGTCTTGATTTGGTTCTCAGCAAGATCATTATTGGTATAGAAATGCTACTGATGTCTATACATTGATTCTGTATCCTGAAACTTTACTGAATTCATTTATCAAATCAAAGAGTTTTTTGGTAGAGTCTTTAGAGTTTTCCAGATATAAGATCATATCTCCTCATTAGTATAGTGGTAAAAGAGAAAAAAAAACCAACAAGAAAACATATATAAGATCATAACCTCACCAAGCAAGAATAATTTGACTTCCTGTTTTCCAGTTTGGATGTGTTTCACTTTTTTCTCATGCCTAATTGCTCTGGTGAGGACTTCCAGTACCATGTTGAATAAGAGTGGTAAAAGTGGGCATGCTTGTCTTGTCCCAGTTCATAGGGGGGATGCTTTCAACTTTTCCCTGTTAAGTATAATGTTAACCGTGGGTTTGTCATATATGGCCTTCATTATTTTGAGTTGTATTCCTTCGATGCCTAGTTTGTTGAGGTTGTTTGTCATGAATGGATGCTGAATTTTGTCAAATGCTTTTTTAACATCTATTGAGATGATCGTGTGGGTTTTGTCCTTAATAGTATTTATGTGATGTCTCACATTTGTTGATTTGTGTATGTTGAACAATCCTTGTATCCATGGTATCAAACTCACTTGATCATGGTGTATTATCTTTTTGATGTGCTGTTGGATTAGATTTGCTAGTGTACTGTTGAGGAATTCTGCATCTATATTCATCAGGAATATTGGTCGGTATTTTTCTTTTTATTGTGTCCTTTTCTGGTTTTGATATCAGAGCGATACTGGCTTCATAGAATGAGTTAGGGAGAATTCCCTCATTCTCATTTTTTTGCAACAGTTTCAGGAGGACTCGTGTTAGTTCTTTTTTGTATGTTTGGTATAATTCAGCTGAGAATCAATCTGATCCTGGATTTTTCTTTGGGGGGAGATTTTTTTTATTACTGATTCAATCTCACTACTCATTATAGGTCTGTTCAGGAGTTCCATTTCTTCCTCGGAGGTTGTATGTTTCCAGGAATTTGTCCATTTCCTCTAGGTTTTCCAGTTTGTGAGGGCATAGTCATTCATCATACAATAGTCTCTGATGATCTTTTTCTTCCTATGATATCAGTTGTAATGTTTCCTTTTTCATTCTTGATTCTGTTTATTTGGATCTTCTCTCTTCTTTTCTTGGTTAGTCTAGCTAGTGGCTTATCAATTTTGTTTATCTTTTCAAAGATCTAACTCTTTGTTTTGTTGATTGTTTATGTTGGGTTTTATTTTTGAGGGGGTTCTCTAAGTCATTTAGTTATTCTCTGATCTTTGTTATTTCTTTTCTTCTGCTAACCCTGGGTTTGTTTTTTGTAGTTCCTTGAGGTGCAATATTAGGTTGTTAACTGTGATCTTTCTACTTTTTTGATATGAGCATTTAGCACTATAAACTTCCCTCTTAGCACTGATTTTGCTGTGTATCACAGATTTTGGTATGTCATGTTTGCATTTTCATTCATTTCAAAAATATTTTTGATTTCCTTCTTAATTTCTTCACAAATCCAGTATTGTTCAGGAGCATGTTGTTTAATTTCCATGTATTTGTATAGTCTGAAGTTCTTCTTATCATTGATTTTTAGCATGATTTCACTGTAGTCTGAGAAGATACTTAATATGATTTCAATTTTTTAAAATTAATTTAGATTTGTTTATGACCTAATATGTGGTCTATCTTGGAGAATATTCCAGTGCTTATAAAAATAATGTATATTCTATAGTTATTGTGTATAATGTTCTGTGAATGTCTGGTAAATCCATTTGGTCTAAAGTCCAATTTAAGTCCAATGTTTTTTGTCGATTTTATGTCCAGATGATCTTTGTAGTGCTGTCAGTGAGGCGTTGAAGTCCCCCTATATAATCGTAATGCCATCTATCTCTTTAGGTCTGGTAATATTGTTTTGTGAATCTGGGAGCTCTGATTTTGGGTGCATATATATAGGATTGTTGTATTCTCTTGCTTAATTGATCCCTATATCATTGTATAATGACCTTCTTTGTCTTTTCTTACTGTTTTTTAATTAAAATCTGTTTTATTTGATGTAAGTGCAGCTACTTCTCCTCACTTTTGGTTTCCATTTGCTTGGAATATCTTTTTCCTCTCCTTTACTTTCAGTCTATGTGTCTTTATGAGTAAGGTGAGTTTCTTCTAAATAGCATGCAGTTGGGTCATATTTTTTATCTGTTCTGCCAATCTATATCTTTTGAGTGGAGAATTTAACCCATTTGTGTTCAAGCTTAATATTTATATATGATGCTTTATTCTGTCATATTGTTAAATTGTTTTTGTTGTTTTATAAATTCTTTGCTTCTTTCTTTTCTCTTTTTGACTTTGTGGTTTGATGAAATTCTGTGATGTTGCCATTTGATTGCTTTTTCTTCCTCCTTTGTATGATTGTTTTATAAGACTTGCAAATTATATTTTCATGTGTTTTCAAGATGGTGAATGTTGTTTCCATGTTTCCATGGAAGCCTCTGTTTCTATGTTTAAGATCCCTTTGAGCCTTTCCTGTAGGGCTGGTCTAGTGGTGACAAATTTTCCCTTGGCATTTGCTTGTCTGGGAAAGACTATTTCTTCTACATTGATGAAATTTATTCTGGCAGGATATAAAATTCTTGACGGACAGCTTCTTTCTTTCAACACTTTGAAAATGCTATCCATTCTCTTCTGGAGTGTAAGGTTTCTGATGAGAACCCCACTGTTAATCTGATGGGGTTTCCTTTATAGGTGACTAAACACTTTTCTCTTGCTAATTTTAAAATTATTTCTTTCATTTTGACTTTAGACATTCTGAATATAATAAACCATGGTGAAGTCCTTTTTGAAAAAAATTAAAAACTTTTTGCCTGGGGGGATCACTGGGCCTTGCATATTTGGATGTCTAACTCTCTTGCTAGACTTGGGAAGTTTACATCAATTACTTTCTTAAATAGGTTTTGTAAACTTTTTGATCTCTTTTCCCCTTTAGGAATACTGACAATTTGTAAGTTTGGTTGCTTTTTGTGGCCCCAGATGTCTCAAAAATTATTATTTTTTGTTCTTTTTTCCTTATTTTTGTCAGACTAGATTGTTTCAAAAGACCTGCCCTCTGAGATTCATTCTGTTTGTTCTAGCCTGTTACTAAAGCTTTTGAATGTATTTTGTATTTCATTTATGAGTTTTAGGGGTTTATAGACATCAGCCTAGGGAAATAATTTATGAAGAAGAACCCAAAAGCAATCACAGCAACAACAAAAATAAATAAATGGGACCTGATCAAATTAAAAAGCTTCTGCACAGCCAAGGAAATTATCACAAGAACAAACATTCAACCTACAGAATGGGAGAAAATATCCACATGGTACACATCCAATAAAGAAAGGGCTGATAACTAGAATCTATATAGAATTCGGGAAAATCAGCAAAAGAAATCAAATAACCATATCAAAAAGTTGGCAAAGGACATGAACAAAGACTTTTCAAAAGAAGACACACTAATAGCCAAAAAACATATGAAAAAATGCTCATCATCTCTAATCATCAGGGAAATGTAAATGAAAACCACAATGAGATATCACTTAACTACAGTGAGAATGGCTTTTATCAAAAAGTTCCAAAACCATAAATGTTGGCATGAATCCAGAAAGATAGGAACACTTATAGCCTGCTGGTGGGACTGCAAGCTAGTACCTCTGTGAAAAGTAACATGGAGATACTTCAAAGAGCTAAAAGTAGAACTACCATTTGATCCAGCAATGCCATTACTGGGAATCTACCCAAAGGAAAAAAAGACATTCTATAAAAATGACATCTGCACTAGAATGTTTATAGCAGCACAATTCACAATTGCAAAGATGTGGAAGCAACATAAGTGCTCATCAAAACATGAGTGGATTAATAAAATGCAGTATATGTATACCATGGAGTACTACTCATTCACAAAAGCAATGGTGATCCAGTACCTCTTGTATTGTCCTGGATGGAGCTGGAGCCTATTCTATTAAATGAAGTATCTCAGGAATGGAAAAACAAGCACCACATGTACTCACCATCAAATTGGTATTAATTGATCAACACTTATGTGCACATATAGTAATAACATTCATCGGGTGTCAGGCAGGTGGGAGCAGGGAGAGGGGATGGGTATGTACACCTTATGGGTGCGGTGCACACCGTCTGGGGGATGGACACACTTGAAGCTCTGACTCAGGTGGAGTAAAGGCAATATATGTCACCTAAACATTTGTACCCCTGTAATATGCTGAAACAAAATAAGTTTCTCATTTAAATCCCAAATTATTTTTCTGATTTCTTTATATTGGTTTTCAAATTTATCTTGCATCTCATTAAGCTTCTTTAAAATCAATATTTTGAATGCTTTGGCATTTCAAAGAGTTATTGGGATTTATTGTTGGACAATTGTGGTGGTCCTTTGGTACTGTCATATTTCCTTGCTTTTTCATGTTTCCTGTGTCCCTCTGTTTATGTCTGTGCATCTGCTATAGCAGTCACCTCTTTCAATTGTTTGAAATCACTTTTGTAGGGGAGAATATTTTCCTGAAGATACATACATATGTTGTTAGATGAGTAGGACACTTGAGCTTTGATTTTGGTCCCCTCTGTAGTGTGATCTTTATATGATTTCTTCAGCAGAACACAGCGTCAGTGGTATCTGTGACTTCCTCAGTGATTTAAGGTTCCGTTGTTAGTTGAGGCTATGGTGAAGTTTTGCTGGGGACTTGGATGCCACTTGAGCCAGTCTTCAGGCCCTGGTGGTGGCAACAGTGGCCTGTGTGTCTATTTTCAGGCCCCGCTGCAGCTTACAGTGGCACCAGTGTTAGTGGGTCTTGGAGGGCCACTTCTTGGACCTGCAGGTGGCTTACTCAGAAGCTAATAGTGGGAGTAGTGGTCCTGGTGTGTGGGCAGGTTATCAGGCCCCTGGGTAGCTTATGTGATGGTGATAGCAGCAGCAGTGATGGAGCAACCCACTGAGACCAAAGGGTCCCTGTCGGTGTTGCTGATAGCTGTGATGGGTGGACAGGATAGTCTCCAGTCCCACAGCAGCCTGTTGCAGGGTGGTGGGTATTGTCCCAGGTATGCCTAGAAGAGCCCAGCTTCCCTGTGCCTCCTCAGCCAGGTGATGGCTGCAGCGGTGTCAACCCAAACTTGGCCCAAGGGCAGGGTGTAGCCCAGCATTAAACTCTCAAAACGGTGCCTTGAGCCCAGGACTAGAAGGTGTAGAGCCACTTGTAGGCAAGCAGTGTGGGCAAGAAGCTGTGGGCAGTGAAATCCATTCATATCTCAGGCTCAAAAGCAGCCACAGCACAGTGGTGGGGACCTTTCTAGAGTTGCATGAGAGCCCCCAGTCTCTGCTATCCCTCCTCAGAACAGCACAACAGCAGTAGCCGTGTCTATAGATCCCCAGCGTCTGGGTGTGGATGCTGTGGCGTTGTGCATGGGCTCCCTTTCTGGAGCGTCGTCTACGTGCAATCTCTAGGCAGCTCCCTATGTTGGTCCCAATGCCCACAGGAGTTGAGGATTCGCCCATAGCCAAGATCGTAAGAGCCTGTTTCATAGTGTGAAGACCTGGGATTCCTCTCTCACTGCTTTCCCACATCCAGGAGCTTCTCCCAGCTCCCAGCCAGTCCCCAGACAGGCCAGTTTCCCTAAAGCCTCTCCTTACATTGGTACCTCCCATTCTTCTGGTGAATCCCAGCTTTCTCTCCTAAACAATCCATCCAAAATGTGAGTATCTACTTACTATTCTGGCTCCTCTTTGTAGAGGAGGCACATACTACATGTGTCTAGTCAGCCATCTACTTTCTATTTATTTATCCAGACTGTCTGCACTATTCTTGTTCATGGTTCATTAGTGTCTGGCCTCAGTGATGCATTCCTTGCATTCTCCAAGCCTCACTTCTCCCACTCTTAGGTTGAGGAAGAGGGATTCTCTTATCTCTTAGAGTCCTCTGTGTACTTTTCTTACAAACCATGTTTATCTAATCAAAGCAATTTCCTTGCATTGACTGTATCCACCACTAGGTTGAGTTTTTGCCTTGCGCATTCATTTTTCACATGATACCAGCACAATGTTCGGTATATAGTAGGTCCTCAATTAAACAATGAAGAAGGAAGTTAATGTCAACTCAACTCTACAACTGTAGGATACTGAGATGAATTTTGCATCGTTTAAACCTATACTAAGGGACCACAGATGCCTGGGCTTATCTTTCTAAGATCAACTGTAATTTTTCCTACACCTGGCTAACCTGTCCAGACCCACAGTGGGCTGAGTCTCACCATTTTTCCTCATCACAGCTAACCTGCTGCCTCCAATTTCTGCTCCTAATCTTTCCAATTTTTTGTTGAAATGTAGGTAGAATAGTGTTGCACCAGGAAAGCAGATTGCAAGTGAGGTCAGAATAGCCAGGCTCTGAGTCAGGAAGAGAGACTGTTGCTTCCTGTTGATTTCAGAGGAGCTGGGGCTTTCCGATGACTGATGGTCAATTCCACTGGGCCCACTCTGTCATCTCACCTTCAGGTGTGTTTTTGCTCTGGATGGTTGTGAGACATCAATACCAGTCTGTTGGGTTACAGTTTCATTTTTACCTTAAAGCAAGACATTAACTTAAAACTTTAAACAGCACTATAAGAAGATAAGTTAGAGTTATTTGCTTTATGTACTTTGTGAAAGTCATTCTGGTACCATGCCCAATGCCAGTGGCGGTACTAGGAAGACACGGATCCTGGGAGAAGGTCACTGGGGATTTGACCAGGCTGATGGCAGGTGCTTGTGTACCTCCACCACAAAGTAGTAAGCATAAACATTGGGTGTGCTCGATTTCAGTTAGACATTTCATTTTATCTGATGCCTTTTCAGCATTTGCCGAAGTTGGAGGTTACGAGAGTTTCATGGAGAAGTACATGAATGCCATCCCGTCCATAGTTGAAGGGGACAACCTGACAATCGACGCCAGGTGCTACACTCCTCAGGTGGACTCCTTCCACCTTTTCCAAGATCCTGTCTCTGGGGACATTCCGTGGCCAGGAATGATATTGGGAATATTCATTACATCTCTGTGGTACTGGTGCACAGATCAGGTGAAGTGTGTGTGTCTCTGTGTGTGTGTGCACGCATTTATGTTGTTCTTTCTTGTCTCATAGAAAAGAATTTAGTTTCTATTTTGTACACACACATCAGTTAAAGAGTCAAACACTTCTGTGAGTCTTGTTACAAAATAGCTGCCTGGTGCCACACTCTCTACCCTATTTCTTGTCCCTCAGAGGCAAATGCTTTCAGCTCTTTCAGTTAAGTATTTCGTATTTATTTCTACTCTCTAAATCCCTGTGCTTGGTGTGTGGTCTGTGACCCATCAGCAAGGACATGGCCTTGGAGATCTCTAGGAATAAACACTCTCAGACCCTATGACCCTGTCCAGATCAGTGGAATCGAAATTTTCTCATTAACTTGATCCCCAAGTGATTCCAATAAATGCTTGTGTTGCTCCTTCTTGGATTTCCAGTTTTAGGGTTTCTCTGTTGGCTTCTCTTTCGACCTCCCATTCTCGGTCCCACGCGAGCACACCTCCCATTCCCCCGTCCTCCCAATAGCATCACAATTTTAGAGATCAGCATTCAGTTCTACCATTTTTTGAGACTTCTTGAATGTAATTCACAGCTGAGCCACATGACATCTTCTGACTGATTTTTCTTTAGCTTTCTATTTTCCATGGAATTTATAATTCCTAATTTTTTATTTTAAATTTTCTTGGTAATTATCACTCGAGAAGCACCAAACCCTCTGCAAATTGCCAAAATCCCCTCTCAATGCTTAATATTCTACCAACTCTACCCCTCACAGTCTGGCCAGGTTGGGTCTATGTTTGATGCCCAACCTTACCCAAGGCCCCTTCTTTGGGATTCCTTTTGCCTCACTCTTGGGATTCATCTCTTTTTCCAGTATCCCATGTCAGGTTTTTTTTTTTTCTTAGATTATTCCTTATTTCAGGGCAATCAAAACCTCCAGTAGCTTCCTGAGATGGGCCCCATAGAAGGTAAATTTATTGTGAATTTGCATATTTGAAAATGTCTTCGCTCTAAACTTTCCTTATTGATAGTTTAGTCATGTGTACACTGCTAGGTTGGAAAGAATTTGCCCAAAGTCGTAGATTCATTGTCCTCTGAATCCCACCGTTACTGTTGAGAAGATGGAAGATATTCTCGATCCTTTAGAGATGACTGCCTTTTTGTCTCTGGAAGCTTGTCTTTCCTTTGTCCTCGGAATTCTGAAATTTCACCACCATGTACCACAACGTGGATCTGTTTTTGTCCCTTGCAGTGGGCAACTATGAGCCTGTTTAACCTGGTAATTGATGTCTTGGGTAATTTGGGGGATTCTTTCCTTGATTTCTTCCATTTGGTTTTCCTGTTGGGACCTTCCACTTGGCGCTGGTCTTCCTCAGCTATCCTCTGGTGTCTGTATCTTTTCTCCCCATCTTCCATCTCATGGTCTTTTTTGCTCTGCTTTCTAGGAGACTTCCTCAACTTTGTCCTCCAGCTTTTCTGCCTTCGTTTTTATAACTTCAAAGATCTTTTTTTTTTTTTTGATTTCTGAATATTCCTTTTTATAGCATCTGGGTTTCTTTTTGTTTTTGTCTTTTGAAGATTTTTTTTTTTCTCTCTGAAGTGTCTCTGTCAACTTCAAACATATAATTTCACAATTTTTAGCCTGTCTTAAATCAATGGTCACAGTTACACTTTTCTCTAAGTAACAAATAATTGATTTTCCCCAAAACATCCACCAAAGGATGCATTGTTTCATCATCGATTTGTGGAACCATCTTTATTATTATATTTCATCCGTAGCCACCTGACTTGCCTCCTGTAAGTGGCCTCACATTCACCTTAGATCTAATGCCCGGCCCTGCTCACCACTGACAGGGCTCCCCTCCTCACCTGTGATTGGTGTTGTACCTCCACCTGCCTGCTTCCAGCCGTCAGTCTACAAATGCCGTCTGCTCCCCCAGCTCTGAATGATACCACTGCCATCCCTAATGGATTGCTTCTCCAAAGAGGATTAAGCACAAAAAAGCCATCTCTATTTTCTGACATTCCTTGAGAAGAAAAATAGCAAGAAGTCATGGCATTATGGGTAAAAGTCCTACATTACTACAAAGTTCTTAGTTAAGAGACTGCATAATGTAAGTAGGAATTATGACATTCTATGCATTCCTTTTCCAAGGACTATCATATTTGATTTATAAACAGATGAGGTTTTTCGAATATTCTGAGGAAATATATAAATGAATGTCTATTCCGATGGCTGCCTGATCACAGCATTTGCATGGTAACTGGCTTGACTTCTCAAGGAGGCAATTGCCCCTTAACTATAGGGAGCTACTGATGATGTCTATGATATCAAAGACATAACTGAAATACACAACTTGTGGTGGCATCAGTACTGACAGCTTTGCACCTAGCAGGGCACACTACCATTGTTGCATTGCAGCCTGGGAGCTCTGAACATATTTTAATAGTAGCTAATGTGTATTGACTTCTCTGTACCAAAGGTCTTACATACATTATACCAAATATTCAGGAAGCCTTGCAACAGATAACCCCATTTTAGAGATGAGAAACCTGAGATTCACAGAGGTCAAATACTATGGGAAAGAAATAGAAATTCAAATCCTGTTCACACTCCAAAGCTCATTATTTACCACCAACCATGACATCATTTCTTTATAGACATACATAAAATAGTTGTACCTGTTTTGGGGGTACCTGTGATATTTTGATACATGTATATACAATCAGTAATGATCAAATCAGGGTAATTGGTATATCCATCACCTCAAGCATTTATCTTTTCTTTCTGTTAAGAATATTACAGTTCTTCTCTTCTAGCTATTTTGAAATATACAATAAATTATTAACAATAATTTCCCTACTGTCCTATTGAATACTAGAATGTATTCCCTCTACCCAACTGTAGTTTTGCACCCCCTTAACCAACTTATCTTCAACCCCTCCCTCCTCTTCCCTTCCCAGCCTCTGGTAACCACCATTCTACTCTCTACCTCCATGAGATCAACTTTTTTAGGCCCCACATATGAGTGAGAACATGCAATATTTGTCCTTCTGTGCCTGGCTTATTGCACTTAGCATGACAACCTCTAGTTTCATCCATGTTGCGCAAATGACAGGATTTTATTCTTTTTTATGGCTGAAAGATTTTCCATTGTGTACACTTACCATATTTTCTTTATCCATGCATTCCTTCAGGGACACTTAGGTTGATTCCGTACTTTGGCTATTATGATAGTGCTGCAATAAACATGCAAATGCAGAAATCTCTTCTATAATATATATGGACCAACATCATTTCTTGTTGTCACATTAAACCCTGAAGACAGACGCTTTTTGAAATCGCCCCCAGGTTGTGTCATGCGTATGTCCTGTTTTCTCCACAGGTCATTGTGCAGCGCTGCCTCTGCGGCAAGGACATGTCTCACGTGAAGGCCGCCTGCATCACATGCGCTTATCTGAAGCTGCTGCCCATGTTCCTAATGGTGATGCCGGGAATGATCAGCCACATTCTGTACACAGGTGAGCCCCAAATCCATATGTCCTGTCCTTTTTATGCTTGAATTGTGAGAAGTATTTTTAAGATGTTATAAAATCTTAACAAACTATAAAATCCATTCTCGATGGAAGTAAAACCTGAATTCCAAGTAGAGGGAACAGCTTGCCCAGAGAGAGGGCCAGAGGCAAGCAAACTTGGGATAGCTGACATCCCGTTCCCTTACCTTTTTAATACTACATGCCTGTCTCATAGTAGACATTTGAGTCTGTGAGTCCTGTTTTCATGAGTGGCTTAGATTTAAGGAAGTCTAGAGAATATGGCAGAGGGGCACTTGGAGGATGGAGTAGAAATGGGATAATTTGAGTTGGGTGAGCAGTGGTGGCTGAGTTTGGTGACATCGCTGACTGAGAAGGTATTTGGAGATGCCCTGTCCCATCTTGGTCCTTCTGAGATAGCTGGAGAACTGAATCGATTTTCACTGCATTGGAACCAAGTTGTTTGGGGCACATGAACTTCTGAGTCAGCTGAGAGTAACTATTGGTGTTGAAATTTTTCCTTAAAAATAAAATTTCTTTCTTTATTTTGAAAAGTAAAGGAAATATAACTGAATCTTACTTGGCTAATTAAAGACTCATTTTTATTGATGATCCATCGGATAACACTGAATGTACTTCATGTTTTCTGAGCTTATTGCAGCATTGGGGTGTTGTTTACAACAGTAAAGAATGTGTAGATATCCAACAAATAGAGACTTGCCAAAGAAATCATTGCCTACCTCCTTTGTGGAAAATTGCACACAAGAGACTGAAGATGATCTCAAAACATGGGGAAATGCTGCAGTTACTATGTTAAAATGTTAAAAAAAAAAAAGAGGGCTACACAACAATAGCTCAACAATCATGATAGTTATGCAAAAAAAGGCATTTCTCTATGGAAAAGGATTAAAAAGGAATTAAAAAGTGAAAAAAGTTAATGCGCCAAGGTGTTATCATTCTGGGTGATTCTTTTTCAATTTTCCCTGTCTATTGTCATAATATTGTTTAAGAAAAAAACCCCATTGAAGTATTGTGCAACTGCCACAGAGTTGAGTCATCATCACACACGGAGCCGTCATGCAGATTGACCATCACGAGTGACGCCTCTTCTGAGATGTGGGTGAACAACAGTAGGCTAGATGGGACTGGATGCAGGACCTAACTTCCTGTTGTTGTTGTCATTGTTGTTGTTGATGTTTATTTCTAGAGTGTTGATGTTTATTTTCTGGAAAATGTTCTTCTCTTGCCATTTTTCTGGAGGATGGGATCAGCTCCCCTGTTTGCTCTGATGCCATCTCTGGGCCACATCCCAAAGAGGGGAGCTTTGCCCCATGGATCAATGCAAGGAGAGCCACAGAGATGAGACCTTTCTGCCTCGTGTTCTGGACAAAGAGGGACCGGATCCGTGGTATGGAGTTCAAAGTTGACTCTCCAATGTCCAGGCAAATGTTTTTCCTTCCCCCACCCATGATTGTACAACTTATCTCTTTGTCCAGCAGTTATGGGCTGTGCCTGGTTCAGCCTCATGGAGCTCACCTCTGAATCCTTCCTCAGATAAGGTGGCCTGTATCGTGCCTTCTGAGTGTGTGAAACAGTGCGGCGTTGAAGTTGGCTGCAGTAACTATGCCTACCCAATGTTGGTGCTGCAACTGCTGCCAGCAGGTAGGAAAATGTCTGTGCTGGAACAGCCTCGGAGGGCTGTCTATGGAAGGGACTTGAGGAAGGGTGATGGTATAATCCTTGGTAATTCTCACTTTCATTAATTCAGTTCTATTCATCAGACATTTCTTGAGCACCTTCCACAGGCCACTGGCCCTCTAAGAGGCTTGGAGAGTTCATAGACAAATTTGATACAGTTTCTGTTAGAAGAATCTGTAGACATTACTTACTCCTTCACAATCAAGACTCTTCCAAGGGAATCAAGAACATTTCAGTGATCTCTTTGTCAATAAAGGAGTTGCATATCCGTAAACTTACAAACTCAGAGGACTAGAGGTTAAGTATCCTGCTTTCTTTTGTTCAGTGATACCAAAATAATAGATCTCAATCTATTTAATTTATAAGTGTTTATTGAGTACCTACTATGTGCCAGGCATTGCTATGGTGCTTAGAAAACATCAGTGAAGTACATACAAAATCCCCTGGCCCTTAGAACTCACATTCCAGTATTGTGAGATAGAAAACAAACCATACGTGTGAAATAAGTAAATTATTAGGAAGCCAGAAGGTGATCATCGCTATGGTGAACAGGAACAGAGCCAGGTACAGAGCTCCGGACTGACCAGGTAATCTTGTACCTGAGGCCCATCAAATGTTGGCTAATACTTATGTGACTTCTGTCCACCCAACACACATCAGCATTTTCAGGAGGAGGGGAGCATGACCCACAAGCATGACACCACATACAACTCATCCACACTCTGTCCTAGGAGGTTTAGGGCCATTACTAATTGGCAGAGAGAAATGGAGGTTGAAGCTCTCATGATGGTTCAAAACCCTTAGCTTTGACCCACCAAAGACTTCTTTGGCAGAAACCCCTACTAAACTTCTTCCCCTTCAGTTCTCTAAGTCTTCGGAAAGCCAAGAGTTCCTCTCCAAAGAAAGATGGCATGACACTATTTCCACTCTTCTAAAATGAGGTTCCAACAGACGAGCTCTAAGTTTATGTGTAGGACTAAAATTCTATACTGCATTATTCTCAGATCACCAGGAAATATGCAGGAAACTCCACGTGCTGGTGTATGTTGATAAGTACATCACTTAATCAGTGTTCGAGTTGACACTTTTATCTTTGAACAGCTCTCTGGTTGAGCAAGGCCCTCATAGATCACGGTGTCCAGCCACTAACCAGTGCTTTTACCCTCTCCTGCCACCAGGGCTGAGAGGCCTGGTGCTGTCGGTCATGCTGGCCTCCCTCATGAGCTCCCTGACCTCCATCTTCAACAGCGCCAGCACCCTCTTCACCATGGACATCTACTCCAAGGTGCGGAAGCAGGCGTCGGAGAAAGAGCTTCTGATAGCAGGACGGTGAGGGAACCCTGTTTCTCCCTAGAATGCCTCTACAGTAGCGCAGATGTAGAAGTGAACTAGAGCTCCCTTGTCTTTGGCTTTGACGAAAGTAAACATAGAGTCCTGGAGTGGAGGAGGGAACATTAAAGGATGTTTATTTCAACTTATATCTGTCCAGATGCAAAAATTGGAGCCATACCTTTAAGCAAAATAATTGCTCTTTCAGACTTTCAAATGCCTCTAATTATCTCTTATTTCTTTCCCTCCTCGTACTGCTCTCCACCCACATCTTCACTAACTCCATCAGTGCTTTAATGGGGTACAAAATTCCATCCACCTCTGATAGAATAATGCATTGTCTCCAGCAGTTTCCTGGTATATCACCTGGAGGTAATAGATTAAGACATCCACACACTAACACAGAGGAGTTTATCAATTGCATTCATTAAAGATTGGACCACGTTAGAAAGGGATAGAACTCATGGGAGGGACTAATTCCAAAACACTGCTTGGAGAGTTCGGTTAACCCAGGGATCCCTGAGCAGCCTGGGGGCCTTAAAGACAGTGAGGTAGAGGGAAACAAGCAGGAAGAATGGATAAATAGCCTCCTTTCTTCGCTTCATACTTTAAAAGTAGACCCTGTATTGTCTACTTGAAAAGTATTTTGCAACATTTTGTAACATGTTTTAAAAATTCAAGGAACACACACATACAGAAAACATGTAAAACATAAATGTATGGCTCAGTGACATATCACAAAATGAGCACCCATGTAACTGGCAGTCCAGTCAAGAAATGGAAATTCCCAGAAGCCCCCTCGGACCCCGTATCCCCAAAGCTGACCACTGTGACTCCAAATGCTATGGTTTATTCTTTCCCAGTTTGGGGCTATTATAAATAGAATAACTCAATATGCATTGCTTGATATATGGCTTCTTTTGCTCCTGTTATGTTTGTGACATCCATCTATGTTGCTATGTGTAGCTATAGTTTATTTATTTATTTTCAATACGGTATTCCATTGCAGGAATACATCAGAATTCATCTACTCTCCTGTTCATGGCTTGAGCACTTTTGTCTATGTCCCTTGATGCACGTGGATACGTATTTCTGTCAAGTGGATTGCGACGAGTGTGCATATCTTTCACTCTCAGTCTTTTAAAATTTAGTGGTCCTGATTAGAAAGGGATGTGGGAAGAGATCTTAAAGAAATTGATTATGACTCTTGCAAAAATGGTCAAATTGATGGTGATAATAATTCCAAATGTGGCTAAAATGGTAAGATAATGGATGCATCATTTCTCCTGTCATACTTACCAATTTTTTGGTAATGTACTTATGTGTATTTTCTGTAATGAAAATGTGTAATTACATACTTGTAGCTTAGCACTTGAAGTTTATTGGAGCCTCGCCAGTAGGTGGAGTAGAAGCTGGAGCCCTGCTATTCTCACCTTAATCTCAATTCTCCCTCTTCCTGACTCATTGAGCAGGCACACTGGCCGCAGTGGATCCAGGGTAAGGACACTCTCAGTACAGTCTACAGATACAGTGTCTGCAAAGACCAGTCTTGGAGGGACACGGCCAGCTTTTCAGTTGGTATCAAGAAAAACTGAACACCCATTAAAAAGATTGTTTTGCTGGTAACAGTAATAATAGCTTTAGCAAATAAAACATTTGGGGAAAGAGCTCAAAGGCCTCACTCGGCCGAGATCTTGACTCTGGACAAATGCTGTAGGAGGACAGGAACAGTAAGATGTGTGTTTCCGTGGCAGAGAAAGTGCTGACTGGTATTCAGGGGACCCAAGATGCAGTAGTCCCCCTAACAGGCGTATGATCGTGAAATCCTCCTGAATGATAAATTAGTGACTTTTTCTTTTCCTCTCTCTCTTATCAAATACCTACTATCTCCCAAAACACAAATATGGAAAGAAACACGTACATTTTTTAAATTGCTGCTTCATGGAATTTATGCCTTTGTGGGGAAGATAGACAGTTCACAAATGTGTGCTGCACTGGGTGGCGAGAAAGGCTGTGATGAGAATTACAGGAGGAAAATGGAGTGGCGGGTCCCTCATCCAGATGCTCAGGGAGTCCCCCTGAGGAGGTGGCATTGGAGCAGAGCCCTCAGGAGTGTGGTCGCCCCATGGCTCTCTGGAGAGGGAGCAGTGAGTCCTGCGTTCGTCCAATGGTCATGCGTGTGGGGTGTTTGAGAACAATGAGGAGTGAGGTGGGCCCATGAGGAGCAAGTGGCAGAGTGACAAGAACCAAGGCCAGAAAGGTGGCCCGAGGCAAAGTCATGCAGGGACACTTAAGCCAGGACAAGGCTCTGGAGTTTATTCTGCATGTGACAGAGAACAACAGAAGCTGCATGAGCTGGGGAGGGACAGGATTTACTTTCCAATGATGATAAAATGACAATAATGGGTATAATTTATTGAATCCTTATTATGGTTGAGGCATTATGCTAAGACCTTTCATGGTTTATCATATTTAGTTGTTGCAACAGTGCAGAGATTTTGGAAAGTTTAAATGAGACATTTGTGCTTCAGTCTCCTGCCCAAATGCTTGTTCCTCCCTCCACCCCACCACGGCTTCTCTGTTTCATGCAAGCAAGAGAGATGATCACCTTTTTTGCAGTCTACTAAATTATGTTTTTTCAATTTATTCAATGAATATTGCACAACAAACACAGAGAACACTGGGGTTTAGGAAGACAAATAAATTCTGCTCTCTGGACCTCGGGAGCTTCTAGCAGGCTTTTATGACTTATCAATATTTTAACCAATTCTTTCTATCTGCCAGAGTATTCAAATAATAAATGCACAAATTAGCATTTCTTGCCAATGCACTGCACATTCTGGGGTAGAGGCCGTGTTACTTCTAACCTATGCAAACTGACTTAGTTCTCTGCAAGCTAGGAAAATGACAAAAATGGAAGTCTGCTTTCTTTATCATACAAAGAATTACTGGTTAATAGAAATAGAGTGGTGTTGATTTGCAATTGACATACATCACATTAGAGAATCATTAATCAACTGGGGACACCTGAACTGTTTTCAGATATTTCATCTCGTAGATGAAGCTGTTAGGACTAATTATAGACCAGCAATTGCTGTATCGGCACTTTACTAACAGAAAATCATTAAGCATGGCATGGGTTCTTGCAAGATTAAGGAGCTTGGCTTTCTTTGGAAAACCAAGAAATGGCAACAAGAATGAATCCATGAACTAAAGCACAACGGAAGTGCCTGTGATACTTTTGCTTAACATGTCAATCATTTTGTTTTCTTCCCAGGATATTTTTCCTCGTAGTAACTGTCGTCAGCATCATGTGGGTTCCACTAGTACAGGTATTTCGAAATGGACAGCTGATCCACTACTCAGAATCAATGGCTAGTTACCTCGGGCCTCCAATTACAGCTGTCTTCCTGCTGGCTGTCTTCTGTAAAAGAGTCAACGAGCAGGTAAGTGAACACTGGAAAACACTTTCCCTGCTGGGGTGAGAAAACATTTTTTTCACTGAGGTATCAAAATGTATTTTTGTGCTCTATTTTACAAATCATGGCCCATGTCAATTTCAGTTGAGGTCAGTCACAATTCTTGATCCTTCCTAAAGTACAAAAATAATAGTGTCCATTCATAGTAGAGTATTTATATTTCTCACAAAATGCTCTGTACATACATGGCGCAGTGCTGAGGAACACAGGTTTGGGAGACAGGTTGCCAAAACCCAGGCGTGGCTATACCACCTAACAGTGTTGTGACCTTCAGCAAATCACTTGACTCTGTGAAATGAAGATGATGATAGCACCTACCCTATGGGATTGCTGTGAGGATTAAATGAGATAAAATATGCGAAACGTGGCTGGGTGCAGTGATTCATGCCTGTAATCGCAGCACTTTGGGAGGTCAAGGCAGGAGGATTGCTTGAGGCCGGGAGTTCATGACCAGCCTGGGCACAGTGAGACACTGTCTCTATGAAAAAATGTTTTTTAAAAAATTATCTGGGCGTGGTGGTGTGAGCCTGTAGTCCCAGCTATTTGGGAGGCTGAGGCAGGAGGATCCCTTGAGCCCAGAAGTTCGAGGTTGCAGTGAGCTATGATCACACCACTGCACCCCAGCCTGGGTGGCAGAGTAAGACTTTGTCTCAAAAAAAAAATTTTTTTTTCATATGTGAAAGGCTTGGAAGAAAATCTACCACACTAGTAAGGGTTCGGAATATGTTTACTGCTATTATGATATATATAATTGATTGATTATAGTGGACCATGTACGTTGAATCCCTTCATTGTTCCTAGGTACTAGCCTTATTATTATAATTTTCAGATAAGGAACATGTGCAGAGAGGTTAATACCTATGTGCTTTTCATGTGTTACTTAATATCAGTAAGTGGGGTCCGGGGATTCAGACTTGAGGCTTCGTCCATCCAAAGCTCATACTCTTAATCTGCATGAAATACTGTTTTCCTAAAGCATAACATCTTGCTCAGGGAAACAGGGATGTATCTGTCCACCCCCAACAATGTCTCAGAGAAAATAAACACTTTGAATTGTCAAGAGCTTAATAAAACTCTCAAAACTACCTAATATCTGCTCTGAAAATTGTGTAACATAACTCATAGTTCTGTTTACTCTACAAAATAAACCATGAGTTTTTAAATCTATCTATAAAATAAAAGTCAAAGAAAACCTCAGGTTGGGTCAGCGTAGACAGTAGTGTCCTGGAATCGGAGGACCAAGAGTGCAATGCTGTTTCAAGACCACGGAGAACAACACGCCACTCACACACACATTAGCAACTTTCTCTTTTGGTGACTTTGTGCTCACGGTTAGCCACTTGTTGGTCCTTCATTGAGAAAGCAGCCTAGATGATAATTATGACTCACTTGAATGAGCTTCTCATCTTTTCTAGACACTCTGATTTTGCTTTTGTTTCTGCGCAGGGAGCGTTCTGGGGTCTAATCATTGGACTTGTGATGGGCCTTAGTCGTATGATCGCAGAGTTTGCCTACGGAACAGGGAGTTGCTTGGCTGCCAGTGACTGTCCCAAGATTTTCTGTGGCGTGCACTACCTGTACTTTGCCATCATTCTCTTCTTTGGGACCATACTAGCCGTCCTGGGAATTTCCCTCTTAACAAAACCCATTCCTGACGTACAACGTGAGTAGATGAATGATAGATATATGCTCATTTTAAAAGAAGGGTTCTTGGCATCCTAAAGCTGCGGCTACTGTAGGATCCCAGGCAATGTCTTCATTGCACCTCTAGAGCTACAATAAACCGAGGAGAGTATCATCCAGTCATTCAAATACACAAAAATTTGCACCTAGCACGTGCAAAGCACCAGTGAATTCACAAGTAAGGAATTGGAGCAGTGTCCACTATAAGGTGCATAAAATATCCCCTCCCCACTAACAATAACGTTTCTTGAAAAAATAAAGCACTCTTTGCACAATGTAAAAAAAAAAAAAAGTAAGGGGTCGGGAAATGAGCTTCTTACTTTAAAAGCTTCGCAGTGCAGTTGGGGCAGAAATCTGCGCCATCGTTACAGGGTTCCAGGAAGAGAAAAATGAGTGTTGCCTCGGAGACTGGGAAAGATTCACAGAAGAGCTGTCACCTAGGCACAGAGACAAAAGAAAATTAAAAAGCACAGGTTACAAGGGTGAAGGAAAAGAAAAAACAGAATAATTAGATGCATTTTTTGTCTTTCAAACTGCAAAAAATGTTTAATATGAATAATGTCTGGCATTGGTGAGGATGTAAGGAATTGCCCACAATCCGGAACTGTTGATGAGTACCTGAGTTTTATAACTTGTAGGAGGCCAGTTGGGCAGTATGCATCAATTTTTAAATTCTTACACCTTACGAGTCAACAATCCCACTTTGAGGAGCTTATATAGAAATGTTTATAGAGTAGGAAAAATATATGTATAAGTATTTTCTCAGCAAAAGCTTCCAAATAGAAAAAAAAAATGAGGACAATCCAACTGTCCATCACAAAGGGAGTGAGTACACGATAACGGTGCACTGAATATTATGCACTATTTAAAAACAAGAGGACGCTCCATTATTTTCTTTGAAAAATGTCCATAATGTAGTTAAGTGAAAAAAAAACAAATGTGGAATAACATAGTATCATATAATAGCATTTTCCGGAATAAAATACATGTAACCCTATGCAAGTTTGCCTAAGCATAGAAAAAAATCTTAAAACATACACACCCAAAATTTTCAACAAGAGGCATCTCTGGGGGTGGGAGATAATATAGAGGCCCAGCCAGTATTAATCACTTTTAAAATATAAATAGTGCTTATATACTAATATTTTTTGAATGTATTACTAACATGTATAACTTTTATGTCTTTTGCATGTATCATTTATAATCTTTGAAGCAATGGCTATTTACATATTTCCTTGAGGAGTGGCCAGTAGATTACGTGTGGATGGGAAATCTGAAACACAGGGTGGTTCAAATCACTTTACCAAAGACATGTCACCAGGATTCCTAACTAAGTATTTACACCGAATATTGAGAGTCGAATGAAAGAGCACTAGAAAACATATCATAGTTTTCAAAGAAACAAATTAAAATGTTAAATTCATTTTTGCCAATAGAAATGACCATAATTTATTTTTAACTTTTAGAAAAAGATTTTGTCTGAAGGACCAGTGAGACCATTTCTCTAATTTATGTTTATGTTTGTTTATTAATATAGTGTGAGTTTTGAACTTTCAACATGGACTGATAAGATTAACAGTTATTTCAGAGTAAGTCATGAAAAGTGTTGTGGACCTAGCCCAGCAGCAGAGACATGAGGTTTCGCAGGACGATAGCTTTTCAGCAAGACTAGAAAGTATTAATACTTGGTCCAAGTTAAACAGGAATTCAAGGAGTCCCTGGAAGAGAGTTTTAACAAAGAAAGTGGATTTAATATAAGAAATTCTACGAATAATAGCTTATGAAGCTATGATTAGGATCCTTAGTGATAAGATAAAAGCATGTTTGCTATGTCAAGAACAAATAAGAAAGCCAATTACAAATTCTAGCAAATCTGTACAAGAAATTTGTAGTGACACAAACTGAAATGAGGCATGACTTTGAGAATACGATGGATTATAAATTTAAAAACCCACTGATACTTGAAACAATTCCTTAGAATGACCCAGAGCTGGTATTTATTTATTGTATCCAATCACGTCTTGGATCTGTGGCCAAAAAAAATTTTTAAATAAGGTACCTTATAGCATAAATGCTATTTATTTTCAGCTTTTTTAATCAAATAGAGACTAAGCATGGAATTCTTAACTATATTTACAGAAAACAATTAAAATTCTTCGAAGTTTAACAGTTTAAAATAATGGTATCACTGATAGAAGTTTAGAAGTCTGTTAGGAAGGGGATGTGTAAGGGTTTTCATTGCAATTGGAACTCAAGAATAATACATAGAGACTATGAAAACATGATGTATCCAGAAATAGAGCTTAAGATATTTTAAAAATTATAAAAGTAACCACCAGACAAACTGAAACAAATAATGATGTAGCTAATAACAGTTGGGTGATAAGGAAAATGAGTGAACAGGGGTACGATGTAGGTTAGCTAAATCTTTTCAACTTTTCTTAAATTATATCATCAACTCAGAAGTAGGAGTTTTAAGCAAATTATTCAGAGTTTTGAATAACTACCAGAAGAATCGAAAACAGAAATAATTTAAAACAGGTAGTGTGTTTTGGTGAGTGAGTGGGGTAGGAGACCTTTTCCTAGTGATCTGTGCTCTCCTGTGAAGTTTGATTTTTTTTAACCGTATGATAATAAAAGGTACATAATATTGCAAACATTTGCCTGTCACTAATGTACCTGCACATGGTCTCTGGTCAGTTGTATCGCTTGTGCTGGGCTCTTCGGGACAGTACAGAGGAACGAATCGATTTAGATGCAGATGAGAAAAGGCTGGAAGAATCCCGTGATGGTGTTGAAGAAGGTAATATCTGGTTACATTTGGTGTTCCCGTAGGAACTCTGTGTGCATGGCTCGGTTTAGTGATTCTCTTTTAATGCCACTAAATTCGGCTTCTGGAAAAGCTGTTGGATTTGTGGCAAACTGAAACTTTAAAATCTTACCTTTCCGACAACCAAGATAACGTATGAAATCCACCTAATCCTTTGCCTGTCCATCCATCATCCATCCATAGTCACTGAGATGTCAATTTCTGTTCCTACTTACATATTAAGTGTTCCATCTTGATTGACTATGATTAAACATCTAGCCCCACCTTCTCTCCAGTCTTATTTCTCACTGTTCTCTCCAATATACCCTCCATTCCAGGCAGGCGGCTTTCTTCACTTTTCCTTACACACAGCAAGCTCCATGGAATATTTCCACCTCCTCTCTAAAGAAAAAAATTGCCTATTCTTTAAAACTAAGCTCTTTTTTTTTATTTCAGAATATTATGAGGGTACAAACGTTTTGATTCCATAGATTTCTTTTGTACCATTTGAGTCAAAGTTATAAGTATGCCTATCCCCAAGATACTGCGCATTGTACCGGTTAGGTGTGAAGTGTCCCATTCCCTCCTCCCACCTCCCACCTGCTGGATGTCTGATGAATGTTGTTTGCATATGTGCACACGATCAGTTAGTTTCAATTTGATGGTGAGTACATGTGGTGTCTGTTTTTCCATTCTTGTGATACTTCACTTAGAAGAATGGTCTCCATTTCCATCCAGGTTAATACAACAGGTGTTACACACCATTTTTTATGCCTGAGTAATACTTCATAAATGGGACCTGAGCAAGTTAAAAACCTTCTGCACAGCCGAGGAAACAATCATTAGAGTGAATAGACAATTTTAGATATAATATTAATTTATTTATTGGAATTTTTCACTAGAATATATACTTTTCTGTATTAATTTCTGTTTTATTTTTATTTAATGATTAAGTCCTAGAAACCAAATACTGGGACAAGGAGTATGAGCATTAATAT